GTTAAATACATCCTTGCAGCATGATCTGCGAAGCAGCCTCATGTGCTAAGGAGAAGAAAGATGATGGATTACAGCCTGCAAAACAGCGCTGTTCCGTCCTTGGTAATATACACGTCTCAAAGCTCACAAAGCGATACCTCATGATTGTGAGAGGCATCGAGGTCTGTTCGCACATAACCTAAATAAATGACATTGCTACTCAATCAGGAGCCGTGTCAATATATATATATATATATAGTGCAATGGAGACAATCAAATGCACAAGATGACACAGTAAACAAAACCTACCGAAGAATTCGGATTCAATAAATTGGGCCAACCTTGGCGCAACTGCATAAATTGCAGAGTAATAAGAGAAATACTACAAGAACACGAAAGTGGTAGATAAAAAGCCTGAAGCCCAAGAAGTGTTTGAACATGTACTGTTAGGTGGCTGTTCATGAATGATGTGCTATTGGAGAACTACTTTATGCTACTTGGTAAGCACAAGGACAGAGTAGTGATTGAGATACCTGTTGTTGATAAACCAGAACAAACAAACTAATTATCCTTATGCAGTGTTACGATGATGTAACTATTAACTATATCACATAAGCCGTTATACGTTATAACAAGCCTGAACCCTTAACCCTGAGCCAAATTCTATAAGGAACCCTTCGCCTATTTTGGGCTATGGCACTTGGATAGGTGCGGGCATGGTGAATAATCAACTCCCCTAAGATTGTATTCTATCTTTTTTGCGGTGGGTCGTGCCGATAGCCAGAAAAAGGCAAGATATACTCAAACTTACTGAAGGTGATCTGTGGCAAATCTCAAGCAGCTATGCTTGCAGCAATGGCACTCGGTGTAGCAAGTTGAATGCAACGATGGAAGGTCTCGAAATCCAAACCCAAAGACATCATCAGCGCGAAACCCTAAAATGTGGTGCTGTTTTAGATCATGGAGAGCCTTTGAAAGCCCTTTGTCCAAACCATGCACACATCGGGTCGAGTGCTTAGAAGGTCCAAGGCGGTCAAGAGTTGGGGTTTTGGGTTTAGGGCTTAGGCATTTACAGTTTAGGGCAAATGAGGGTTTGGGATTTAGGGTTAGCAGGTGGGCCATGCTGGCTACCTAGCTGTGCCCCCATCCCACACTCACACCCATGCTACCCCTGAAGACTGCTGCTACAACGTTCCTCTTCCACTCCTCGAGCTGTCGAGTTCTCGATTTGCCCTTCCCTCCATGTTAGACTGAGCGAAAGCGATGGATCTTCGTGATTCAGTGCTTGGGCGTTCGTGTTGAAGATTTTCCAAGCACGCAGTTAGGGTCTTGCGTGTGTGGGACTGCAGAGTAGAGTCTGTCCGTATGCCCTGTTCGGTTAGGGTTCAGGGATTTGGGTTTAGGGGATTTGCCCACCTGAGTTCTTGGCTGTCTCTTCGTCCTTCTCCTGATCGACCTTGTCAGGCACGTCAAATCCAGCATTCTAAAACTGGGTAGCCGGTGACGTGGACAAAGTTCATCAAGGTAGAAACATCTACTTAGTTTGGGAACTCCTTCTGTGCTAAGTGTGTGTGTATATATATATATATAATCAGAGTCCCAAGTAGGAGCTCAACACCGGCTGAAACCCTCGCAAGACATGAGCCTCGCAGTTTTCGGTAGGTTTGGGCTTCAGTTTAAGGTGACGGCGTTGGTGGGCTATGGAAGCGCAAAATCTCGATGCTTCCTAGTTCGAAGCAGCTCTGGTGTTTCCCATTAAATTACTCCTTGCTGCTTAGGGGTTTATGGTTGATGGATCCGGGGTGTGCATGTGTGTGCCCTGTGACCTCAGCTTCCCAACCTGCACTGGTCCGCTTCAACAGTGCTGCAACCCTACAAGCATCAACCAAATGCGACGCCTCTAAACCCTAAGCCCTAACCACTAAGCCAGCCCGAAACATGAAAACCCAAGCCCCACATGTACTTCCCCTAAACCTAACCCTCATCCCAAAAAGACGAAGTCGAACGAAACTTCCCGAGTCCTAAGCCTAAACCCTAAACCCCAAATCCTAAACCCTAAACCCTCACCCTAAACCCCAAACCGCAAGCGAGTCTGCTCTGCCTGGAGCTTTGCGGAAGGAAGCCTTTGGGCCTGGACCATAAACGAGTTGAGGTTTGGTGCTTTAGGATCTAGGCTGATCTAGGGGTCTAGGGTTCGGGTTCAAGGTTTAGGGGTTGGTACTTTAGGATTTAGGGTCTGGGATTTAGGGGTTTCTGGGGCTTGGGTGTAGGAGGGCTGCTGTTCAGCTCGAGCTTGGAGCCCCGGAGAACGGTGTTGGGCTTTTGAGGGTTCACAGCGCGCAACGGGGCGTAGGCCTCATTCTGAGGGATGGGGGGTCAGGGTGAGAGCATAAAGCTTGGAGTCTTTGCAGCCTCACAACGAAGGCAAAAAGTGCATGCCTACCTGGCCAATGTAGAGCGCTGGTCAATAGACCCCCTGAGGGTAGGATCTTTACATACTGTAATCCCAACAAGAAGGAAGGGCGGGTCTACAGTGTATTGGAAGTCAGAAGCCGCCGAAATCGCGAGCCCTTACAACGAAGGTCTCGATGAACAGCTCCGAATCCGAAGCCTCCTAAACTCCTCAAGTTCAAGCCTAAATCCTAAACGGCCCTAAACCCAGACAAACCCTAAACCCCCCCAAAACCCAAAACCCCCGCCTTTCGGAAGAGAGCAAGGGACAGCCCGCCGCAGAGCCGCTGATCCAGCCGGCAGGAGATGTGGTTGTTGATCCTTACTATACTTACTATACATAAGGGGCCTTAATAATGAGTGTCAGGCTCCTTTAAAGGGATACTAGACAGTTTTCGCCGGTTTTCCATAGCGGGTTTGTGCAACGTAGCTTCAAACCGCCCAAAATCCTGAAGTGTAGGGTATCGGATTCTCGGGATTAGGGTGTAAGGCTTGTAGGGTTTAAGGGTTTAGGGCTTTAGGGCCAAGCTTGGGGTTTAGGGCCGTTTAGGGCTTCGTGCTAGAGGATGGCTCTTGGCTTTGTTCCACCGGGGGCAACCTTCAGGCTGCACTGCAAAACAACTGAAACTCCCAAAAGGTTTGGGGGTTGGGGCTTAGGGTTTAGAGTTTGGGGTTTAGGGTTTGGAGTTTAGGGCTTAAGGAAAGATCACATAGCAACAACTGAAGCCCAATTCCTCTGCCAAAATATCAGAAGCCCTAACACGCCCTGCGTCTTCGCGGTGCTTCACCGCCCGAATACTTCGAACGTGGCTGTCAGGTTATGTTCCACAAGCCTTACACTAGGCACTATAAGGGGATAAGAGTACTCGTTGCTCAGGTCCCTGAGGTCTTGACAGGGTTTCTCTGGATTACAGGGCTTAATTGGGGCATGTATCTATATGTATCCCCATTCACGCTCGAAGGAGAATAGCTACCAGCTAGCTTGGTAAATCTAAAACCTGAGCCGTACACAAAGAATGTGCAGCCCTGCAGACTGAACCAACTTCCCGTTTAACATGTGAACTTCTGCATTTAAACTTAAGCTAAACCCTAAACCCCAAAACCCGAACAACCTAAAACTTCATGCCATGCCTCGAGCTTAGCACGATGTTGCTCAAAGGCAGCGCAGAGAAGACGACGATGGCGATCAACAGCGGCTCTCGCAAGTCGGGTAAAACTCCATGCTCCTGGTGCATTCTGCATTTAAGTCTGCCATAAATCCTGAACCCTAAACCCTACGATCAGCCCTACAAGCCCTGTGGACTGTAATTTAAATTACACTAGCCCATGAGCCACCAAAAGTCAGGGCGCAGATTCTGGGATCTTGATCTTTCTGTGTCGCACCTTTTCTCTCCGCCGGTCTGGGTTAAGGTTTTGGGGAACAGATTTTTGCCAAAAGGCTTTTAGACTACACTCTGGCAGTAAAGCCATCGGACGTCGGCCAGCAACAAATGTCCAATCGAAATCAAAGTGGCAAGGATGAGTACCAGTATTCGATGAGGTTGAGCGTCGGAATATTCCGGATTCATTCTCGCCCCAGAATCCGATAAGTATAGGTTCTGCAAGGCCCCTGTTAGGGTTTCCAGGACCCCAGATACCCAGTAGCTTTGGGCACACTGCCTTAGGATAGCAGCAATCTCAGCTTGTTCTGTCGGGGAGTAGATTTAGCTCTAGGTGGTGGCCTTTAGCATAGGCATGTAGTCTTGATCCATACATGAAGCATCCTTTCAGTCTGCGGTTCATTTTAAGGTCAGTTTTTTCACTTCCATCTGATCCTGAACAGTCATATACTGATACACTTATTGCATGATTACAAACATGACTACCATTACTGGTGTCACCTATACCTAAGGGGCCATATCTCCGAATGGTGTTCCTTGCAATTCTGCCATCCTTGGGGTGTCTAGTTTCATCGGCACCTGTATCAGGAACCCACTCAGGATCTTTGCAAGAATCCTTAGAACCCGTAAAGGACTCTTGGATGGTCCCCGATAAGCCTCGTGGTACACCTGCACCCAGTGGAAGTAGCTCAAGGCCTTCTGCACCTCAGCAGCGACGGCACAGGGCTTTTAGGGATAAGCGCTTAGGGAAGTTCAGAGTTGTGGGGTTTCGGGCTTGTTGGTGAAAGGTTCAGGTTGCTTTAACCATTTTGTTTAGGGAGTCCCTGATGTTTCGCGAGCGATGTCATGCGGTAAACTCAAGTTGCTGCACATAATCGCCGTCATGGCTTAGGGTTTAGGGCTTGTGGAAATCCCGTGCAGCCTTCAGTGACTTTAGTCGTGGATACACGTATTCAGTAGTCGGCGAAAATGTGACAGCGAAGCCTCGTAGGCCCTAAACTCTAAACCGGCTTGATTCTCATCCTGAAGCCTGGACTGGCGACGAGAACAATGGGTGAACAACGAATGTGCATGGGTGGGGCGGCTCTGGGGCATCCGTCGCACTATTAAGATTAGGGTTTAGGGTTTAGGGTTCAGTGCTATCGGTGTTGTCGATATTGGTGGCGGCCCTGGGCTATCCAATTCACACGCAGTGAATTTCATTCACAGCAGTCCATGATTCCAACGGGGACCAGGGACCTTACAGCCCGAAAGGAAACATCCGCTATACCTGGCTTAAGAAGCCGGACAGGACTCCCGAAGCCATGACGCAGGAGTCGGAAAAAATCGAATTCTGAGCTATCTTGGTATTTCTTTGTTGACGGGTATGGGAGAATTTTCTCTCGTAGGGTAGTGTAGAGCTGTTTTGAGGTTGGAGCTTCAGGGTTCGGAGTTCATGGTTGAGGGCTCCGGGAATCTGCTGCAAAGGCGCAAGGTAGACAGAGTAGGCTTGCGAGACGATGATTTGCAATGCCAGAACCTTGGGACACGTAGCAAAAACCCTAAGCACATGGGCCCTAAACCCAAAGTAACGAATGGGAAGTCAGGCTTAGTCGGGCTTAGCCGGACTCTTTTGTACATCGGAGGGCGGTGGAAGTCGGAGACAAAAACCAAACGACATGCAGCCTTCCTTTCATTACTGCAACTTCATCCCCTGGACTCTCAAGCTTTCGCCTTTGAAGGCTGAGAAGTCTTGTTGACCTCGGTGCTTCGGTTGTTTTGACGGAGTCTTAGAGCCGTGTAGACGCTCTCGAGCGGCAACAGCCCCACAGCTGAGGTCATTGCTGACAGCTTAGAGTCTCGGCCCTATGCAGCCCAGCAGCTAACATCAGGCAAAGCATCGTCTTTATGGTGTAGATTCGGATAATGACACGTGCCAGTGAAGCATGTAGCTCCCCCATTGTCTCAACTTCCTGTGGGCTGAGGATTTGGGGGCCCTCAACGTAAAGGTTCCGTGGTCCTTGTCAAAACACTTCTTGGCAACTTCTTGGGACAGAAAGAAGGCAACAATGCAACGAAATCCTGTCACAGAAGCTGCTAGCCTCCGTCTGTCCTATGCGCCAACAACCAAGAGCCCGTCTACAATCCGTGCAAAGCCTTGCTAGAGAAGCCGAGAAGCCGCTATTATGATGATGGAATTTATATACGACTCCCCCTCCTACATTAGGGCCCTAGATTACATTCATCACCCCGGGCCTCCAAACCCCAGACACTGAACTCACCGACGTCCCGAAGTGTTGGAACACTTCCTACACCCAAAAACCGTTAAGCGGACTCGTATTGAAGGGAATATTCAATTCCCAAGATGGCGACAGCGTTTCCGATTTCAGTGGCCCTGTATGAACCAAAATAACAGGACCCCTACCTTCAGGACGCCACAAACTGACCATTGCTCGAAAAGCCCCAACAGTCCTCATTCCACATCTTCTCAAAAATGTCGCTGCATTCTTTGGCCTTTCTGGGAGACGACTTGCTTGTGGGCCACATTAAGGGCAAGAGGTCATAGCATTTACCCTGACCCCAAATAGCCTACCTTTTTAAGGTCTTATATCAGGAAATCATAATAATGATCATAATAGTTATATAAGGAAATCAAGATAACCGTATTATAAGGACTCCAAAACAGCTAAGTTCTTTATTGTCCAGGTAGGAATTACCGACACACGTGGCGGGTGCCAAGGCTGTACAGTGGAGCTTGCAGCTGTCCGATAAGGGCTTATGATTTCTAGCTTCTTTTTTTTTTGACACCTCTTTTCCACCTGCCTGGTTAAGTTAGGTGATTTCTAGCTTCCGGGCTTAGACTTTACATAGTTGGGCCGCTGCGTTTATTTAAGGCTTAGGCTGCTTGCGGTATCTCAAGCGGTGCCCCTATCTCGTTTCATCATAAGTACTGGCAGAAAAACTGGATCTCGTTCAAATATCGTTAGTAGCAGCTCTGATCATAAATGAGCCTGATCTCGTTTTATGCGGTGCCCTTATCTCGTTCCCCTCTTAGAGCGAGTTCGGACCAGAAAATAGAGCAAGGAGCTATGTCGTTTCAAAAGACCACAGTATTTACACAAACAAAAGCCGTCGCTCAGTTATTGATATTATGACGATTGTGATTTTGATGTCTCATTAATCACAATCAGCATTACTATTATTACCATTACTATTTCCATTGTTTGCGGTCACGGATGAAGGGCAAAGGGTGTTGAAACTATCTGTGCCCTCTACATTAGAACCTCGCCCGTGGCCTCTTCAGAGGTCAGAGGCTTCTACTGGGTTTGGGGTTTAGGGCTTAGGGCTTTGGGGTTCAGGGTTTCGGGCGTTCGGGTTTAGGGGTTTAAGGTTTCAGGTTCTGGGGTTCAGGGTTTAGGGGGTTTAGGGTTTAGGGGTTTAGGGTTTAGGGGCCCTTAAACTACCATAACCTACGGTTATGTAAGTTCCTCTTCTTAAGCCCGAACATGGAATTGATAGGGGCCCTACGAAAAAAGTAGGTTTTGGTAGTTCAAGGTAGGCTTCCGAGCTTAAGACTCGAGGATTTGGCGATTTTTGGTGACATGGCTTCGGGTCTTTGGGTTATCTTGTGTTTTGGCGGTAGAGGCAGTTTTCAAGGCGGAGGAAGTGAGCATCATCATACTACGAAGCACCCTAAACCCTAAATCCTGACTACAGGTAAGTGAGCAAGCTGATAGCACAAGTAGAAGTAGGAGACGCCCGACTTCAGCAGCGACAATCATGAACCCCTACAGCCCCTATCGTACCCTTATTACCCCAGGCCCGTAAGTCGCCGCCTCAAGGAACCCTAGACCCGATGACAGCTCCACAGTTTATGGCAGGCTTCTTGCTTTCCTGGGTCGAAGCTTCAGGGGCTTAGGTTTCAAGTCGGTTAGGGGCCGCAGCAGTAACCCAAGCATCAAGCCGACTAGAACAGATTTGTCGAAGTGATTGCCTCGACTGGCTTTCGGAACTGTGCACCTTAAATTGCAGTGCATCGACCGAAAAACCGCAGAATTTCATTGAAATGAACCCTCCATTTAGCCGTAAATCGCTAGACCCCTTAAAACACAAAATCCTAGAACAAGTAGCCGAAAGCCCTAATTACACCATACAAACCTTTAGCTCCTTATGGAACATTCCTACGTGAAGACTCTCGAAACGCCGCGATGCATCCCGTAAGTAAGTCCTTCACCCACCATCCCCAAAACCCCATCCAGCATTCCCCAAAACCCTAAAGCATCGACAAGCCACCTGCATCGCCCTACCTCCGACTTGGGGAAGATCTCCGGGTTTGATCTTCGTCAGGGCCGCGTCCTCTGCATCAGTTGGCTTGCCCAAGGGGTCCTAGATACTGTCTGAAAACCTATATGGGTGGTTGTCAAAATTATGGTCCCTTTTTGGGTCCCTAATATAATACGGCACAAAATTTTTAGGGTACCCAAAAAAGGACCCTAATTTTGACGACCACCCATATAGAAACCCGACATTCTACGATATAGGTACTTTCGACCTCTTGGGTCTCTATGGGTTTACAGGCTCTTTGGTTATGCACATTACTCATCGCTTCGGAAGTGGTCGTAAATGAATAGGATATTTTGCTGCGTAAGGCTCCAAAACCTCTAAACACCTTAAACCCGAAACCCTACATAATATTAACTCTCAACCCTAAACCCTGAACCCTAAACCCTAAAACCCTAAGCCCTAAAAGCCTGTCCTGGGAATGCCCCCATTTCGCAACCCATGGGCTGGCCCACGAGACGGCCAACCACCCGAGCCAGCCTTGGGTTGTATAAACGGAGCTTGAGGGGTTTATCTAGTGTTTAGGCTTCAGGGTTCTGGGTTGCTTAGGGCTTAGGATTTAGGGTCCTGGGTTGTTTGGTGTTCAGGGCTTAGGGATATGTTTAAGCTTTTGGGCTTAACGGGTCTAGGGCAGCATTTGGGATTTAAGGTTGAGGGCTGAAGGCACTCATGGTGTAGGACTTGCTGTTTGTTAACTTGTTAAAAGGCTCTATCTGGATAGACTTTGAAGGCTTTAGGGCCTTATTAGGGCTTAGTGATTAGGATCTGAAGGGCTTTTATGGGAAAAGGCTTGCTTGAGAAAAGTAGGATTTTGCAGGGTTTACTGTCGGGGTCTGGATGGTGTGGGATTTAGAGTTGTGCAGCCCAGGGATTTGGACTTCTACGTAATGTAGGGGCGTTAGAAATTAGAATAGGGTTTTGGGGATTCCTTATTATACAGTGTTATTTTCCCATCTTGGGCTGGGAAACCCCGCCAAGAGTAGGTTACATCCACTTGGGGTTAGTAGTGTGCAACTACCACTCCATGTTACCAACAATAATTTTCACCTGAACACAGGAGACAAAATTTGCTGATTACCTGAGCATCTGGAGGTAAAGCGGTATGGGTTCATAACGTATATGGGGTCAGCATAAAGACATACAGAGGTACGTCAATAGACACACAATACGGACACACGAGGTCAATAATATTGTTCTAACCATGTAGCTCTCTTGCCAGGTTTTCTCCTCCACATCCACAGTCGAGACCGTCTTGCAGCGAGGTGCCCGGTATTCCACCTCCTGAACCCAAACCCTAAGCTCTTTCGCGCTTAGGCTACGCATCTTTGGAGGTGCAGGAGTGATATGGTTTGGGATTCGGCGCGTGTGGTCTTGCTGCATGCGTTCTGCGTGCAGACTTGGGACACGATAACATCGACTGAAGTACCGAGCACGACATTGAGATGGGAGGGCGGCCCTAAGCGGCCTCAAACTTAAACAAGGATCCCCATTTTTTTTTTGGGGGGGGGGCTTTTTGCAAAGTATTTCCAGGGCTCTATAAGGGTTTTATCTTGGGAGTCGTATGATAGCGGCCTGAGTAATAAGAATCGGGTGTGGCTATATTTTACCACCACATACGTAAACAAATGAACCCCGAGGAAAAGCACTAGAAAGTATGCAGGCCCCTATATATGGTCCCGCGTCGCGTGTCGGTACCTCCCACCCCCCCCACCCCCCCATGGTATCCCGAAATCCTCGTGAGGGTCTCACTTTTGTCTCAAAAGTGCCAACAGTCACAGGGATGAGCCTTCCGAACCCGCGATCCTCGTGAGTGTTGTGACTTCTGAAGCTATGCAACTTCGTCGTGTCCAAAGTGGCGACCTGGAGGGGCCATGGTTTCGGTCTGCGCCACGTGCAGCTGCGGATCCTCGACCCTAAGCCATTCATATCTAAAGGCACCAAAACCAGAAACAACCCGACCACCCAGTGCCACACCACAGGGGGGTGCGGGCGCAAACTTTAAACCTTAAACCCGACACCCAGCACCACGCCATAGCGGGACGAGGGGGGTTAAACAACCCAAAACCCACGACCATCAGGGGGGGGGGGTGGGCGGGGCGTGGGACAGCATGAGGCCACCCACAGCCCACAAGGGGGCCGCGGCGAAGCACCCAAAATCCTTATGAGGGTCGTCATTTTTGCTTCAAAAGTGCCAACAGTCACAGGGATAGGCCCCCCGAATCCTCGTGAGTGTTGTGACTTGTGAAGCACGCGCAACTTCGTCGCGTGTCGACACTCACCTGGATGGGCCATGGTTTCCTCAACCCTAAACCCTTTCATATCTTTACACCTAAACCCTAAACAACGGTACCCCACCACACCCACACCATAGGGCGCGAGCACAAACCCGAAACCCTGAACCCAACACCGACCACCACGCCACACCACGCCACGCCACGCCACGCCACGCCACGCCACGCCACGCCACACCACAGGGGGCGAGAGGGGGGTGAAACTCTAAACCTGAAATCCACAACCCACCACCACACCGCAGGGGGAGGGGGGTTTAAACAACCCCAAACCCACGAACACACCGCAGGTGGGGGCCCGGGGCCAGCATGAGCCCACCCACCTTTACAGGGGCGGAGCATGGCATGCACCACAGCCAGGTGAAGGGAAGCATGATTGGGGAGTGGGGGGTAGGGGGGGATACCATGGGGGGGGAGGGGGGGGGTAGGAGGGTAGAATATGTATAATGCGTCGTGCGG